GAACGGGACAAAAATACTTGATGCGCGTCCGTTGCCCTGGAAACAAGAGCCCGGTCCCGCTCTTTTCCCGAAACAATGTCAGACCAGACTGAGAGAGTGTTTTATGACATAAAACATCAACGGAGGAGATCGGGTCGACGACTGGGGCGTAATATATATATTATACTCCGCTAATGACACTGGATCAGTCCCGGTCTAGTCCTGGTCTAATACCGGTCTGGTCCTGGTCTAATCACGGTCTAGTCCCGGTCTAGTCCTGGTCTAATCACGGTCTAGTCCCGGTCTGGTCCCGGTCTAGTCCCGGTCTAGTCCTGGTCTAATCACGGTCTAGTCCCGGTCTAGTCCTTGTTTAGTCTCGGTCTAGTCTCGGTCTAGTCCCGGTCTAGTCCTGGTTTGGTCCTGGTCCGGTCCTGGTGTATTCCTCGCGATCGGCTCGGTGATTGTGGTGTATATATTTATTCTCCGCTCATGTTTGTGGTTCTCGTTCTGGTTCTCGGGTTTTTCTTCCTGATAATTACGTCGCTGCGTCACTGGATACTCGTCCCTGATTGATTGACGCGGCGCGTCTGACGCGAAAAGTTCAGCATTTTCAACTTCTTGACGCTGACGCCTTGGATGCGCGTCTTGGCCGCTGACGCCAAAAACGCTGAAGACGCGCTGCGCTGACGCCGAAAACGCGCCGCAAAAACGCAGGACGCTCTAGTCGCGCGTCCACATAGACTTTACATAGAAAGTGGACACTTTGACGCCTTGGTCTGAACGGGCCTTTAGAATAAAGTGCAATTGCACTTCCACTACATTAGGGGCAGTGGCGCTCTCATTGGCAGAGTGTGCGCAGGGAGGATTCGCTCGGTGGTGTAGGAGTTTTGTTTGCACTGAGCATGCGCGCTTTGCACACAGCACAGAGTTTGAGTATGAAGTGTAGACACGAAGTGTAGCAGACCCTCAAGTGACACCATGAAAAAATATTTAACAGGGATGAGAAGACAGGCGGAGAGAGACGGAGATAAAGAGACAAACGAAAATCTCCGAAAGCTAAGACGAGGAAATATGATGAAGCGTATGTAGCGCTTGGCTTCACTGTGACTACGGTGGGAGACGAGGAAAGACCGGTGTGCTTACTGTGTCTAAAAATGTTGGCAGCCGACAGCATGAAGCCCAATAAATTAAGGCGTCACTTAAATACATTACACCCCCAATCACTCTGATAAGCCGCTTGAGATTTTTCAGCGAAAACGTGCCGAATATTGCCGACAATCATCCCGCTTTGTGACTGCTACTTCAGTAAACTAGCGAGCGTTGTTGGCATCATATAAGGTGGCAGTGTTACGCACAGGTGTACTTAGTATCATTTGTCTATAAAATTGTTATCTATAGTCACGCGGGGGGGCGCGAGATGTTTTATTCGTCCTAGGGGGGGCATGACAGAAAATAATTGAGAAGCACTGAACTAGACCGGGAACTAAATGTGGACTATACTCGGCACTAAACTCAGAAAAACTCTGAACTAAATTCGGAACTAGACCTAAACTAACCTGGAACTAAATCTGGAACTAAACCTGAATTAGACCCGGAACTAAATGTGGACCAAACTTGACACTAAACCAGGAACTACACTCAGAACTAAACCTGGACTAAACCTGAATTTGACCGGGAACTAAATGTGGACCAAATTTGACACTAAACCAGGAACTAAACTCAGAACTAAACCTGGACTAAACCTGAATTTGACCGGGAACTAAATGTGCACTAAACTGTGCCAAGTCGGAACTAAACTCAGAACAAAACTCGGAACTAACCTGGAACTATATCTGGAACTATATCTGGAACTAAATTTAGAACTAAACCTGAACCTAAACCTGGAAATAACTTGGAAATAAATCTGGGATTAAACTGGGAACTAAACTGAACTAGAGTTGGGACTAAACTCATAACTAAACCTGGACTAAACCTGAATTAGACCGGGAACTAAATGTGGACTAAACCCTGTACTAAATTCGGAACTAAACCTAAACTAACCTGGAACTAAATCTGGAACTAAACCTGGACTCAACCTGAATTAGACCTGGAACTAAATGTGGACTAAAGTTGGCACTAAACCTGGAACTAAACTCGGAAAGATTCTTTCTTTCTGTAATTTTTAATTATTTTATTTAATTTGCAGTTTAAAAAACTTTAACTAAATAAGCGTAGAGTAGATAAGCAGGTGACAGTCTCTTTTCATGTGTTTCAAACTTCCTGAAACATTTTAAAGACGATTCAAAAGACAATTCAAACTTGGATAACATTTTCTTTTGAATTGCTAATTGCTCTGGTCACGGTGTTAGAAAAACCCACCACAGATAACAGAAAAGTTCCGCAGTCCACCTTTAAACGGAGCATATTAAAAACCAAAACAAAACCCCACAGGAAGCTCGCGACACCATGAAAGAAAACGTGGTCGCACTTTTATCATGAACTTTCTGAACTTTCTACTTCAAAAACACAAATTTTACGAGCTTCAAAACAAAGACAGTAGGAAAAAACAGGGACTAAACCTGGGACTAACCTGGGACTAAACCTGGACTAAACCTGGAACTAAACCTGAATTAAACCTGAATTAAACCTGGGACTAAACCTGAACTACACTCGGAACTAAACCTGGAAATAAACTCGGAACTAAATTTGGAATTAAACTTGAACTAACCTGTGACTAAACCTGGAACTAGACCGGGAACTAAATGTGGACTATACTCGGCACTAAACTCAGAACTAAACTCTGAACTAAATTCGGAACTAGACCTAAACTAACCTGGAACTAAATCTGGAACTAAACCTGAATTAGACCTGGAACTAAATGTGGACCAAACTTGACACTAAACCAGGAACTAAACTCAGAACTAAACCTGGACTAAACCTGAATTTGACCGGGAACTAAATGTGCACTAAACTGTGCCGAGTCGGAACTAAACTCAGAACAAAACTCGGAACTAACCTGGAACTATATCTGGAACTAAATTTAGAACTAAACCTGAACCTAAACCTGGAAATAACCTGGAACTAAATCTGGGATTAAACTGGGAACTAAACTGAACTAGAGTTGGGACTAAACTCGTAACTAAACCTGGACTCAACCTGAATTAGACCGGGAACTAAATGTGGACTAAACTCGGAACTAAACCTAAACTAACCTGGAACTAAATCTGGAACTAAACGTGGACTAAAGTTGGCACTAAACCTGGAACTAAACTCGGAAAGATTCTTTCTTTCTGTAATTTTTAATTATTTTATTTAATTTGCAGTTTAAAAAACTTTAACTAAATAAGCGTAGAGTAGATAAGCAGGTGACAGTCTCTATTCATGTGTTTCAAACTTCCTGAAACATTTTAAAGACGATTCAAAAGACAATTCAAACTTGGATAACATTTTCTTTTGAATTGCTAATTGCTCTGGTCACGGTGTTAGAAAAACCCACCACAGATAACAGAAAAGTTCCGCAGTCCACCTTTAAACGGAGCATATTAAAAACCAAAACAAAACCCCACAGGAAGCTCGCGACACCATGAAAGAAAACGTGGTCGCACTTTTATCATGAACTTTCTGAACTTTCTACTTCAAAAACACAAATTTTACGAGCTTCAAAACAAAGACAGTAGGAAAAAACATGGACTAAACCTGGGACTAAACCTGAATTAAACCTGGGACTAAACCTAGACTAAACCTGAACTACACTCGGAACTAAACCTGGAAATAAACTCGGAACTAAATTTGGAATTAAACTTGAACTAACCTGTGACTAAACCTGGAACTAGACCGGGAACTAAATGTGGACTAAACTCGGCACTAAACTCAGAACTAAACTCTGAACTAAATTCGGAACTAGACCTAAACTAACCTGGAACTAAACCTGGACTAAACCTGAATTTGACCGGGAACTAAATGTGGACCAAACTTGACACTAAACCAGGAACTACACTCAGAACTAAACCTGGACTAAACCTGAATTTGACCGGGAACTAAATGTGCACTAAACTGTGCCGAGTCGGAACTAAACTCAGAACAAAACTCGGAACTAACCTGGAACTATATCTGGAACTAAACTTAGAACTAAACCTGAACCTAAACCTGGAAATAACCTGGAACTAAATCTGGGATTAAACTGGGAACTAAACTGAACTAGAGTTGGGACTAAACTCGGAACTAAACCTGGACTAAACCTGAATTAGACCGGGAACTAAATGTGGACTAAACCCTGTACTAAACTCGGAACTAAACCTAAATTAACCTGGAACTAAATCTGGAACTAAACGTGGACTAAAGTTGGCACTAAACCTGGAACTAAACTCGGAAAGATTCTTTCTTTCTGTAGTTTTTAATTATTTTATTTAATTTGCAGTTTAAAAAACTTTAAATAAGCGTAGCGTAGATAAGCAGGTGACAGTCTCTTTTCATGTGTTTCAAACTTCCTGAAACATTTTAAAGACGATTCAAAAGACAATTCAAACTTGGATAACATTTTCTTTTGAATTGCTAATTGCTCTGGTCACGGTGTTAGAAAAACCCACCACAGATAACAGAAAAGTTCCGCAGTCCACCTTTAAACGGAGCATATTAAAAACCAAAACAAAACCCCACAGGAAGCTCGCGACACCATGAAAGAAAACGTGGTCGCACTTTTATCATGAACTTTCTGAACTTTCTACTTCAAAAACACAAATTTTACGAGCGTCAAAACAAAGACAGTAGGAAAAAAAAAAAAAAACGTGAATGAGGTAAAAGGATGAATGAACTTGTGCTGATTTCTTGAATGGATTTATTGAAACAGCGTGGTGCCTTTGTGATGCTCTGAATACATGACAGCCCCTCTGAAGTGCGCATTGTGAGCGGGGCAGGTCGCGTAGTGGGTGTGTCCTGACCATTCACACAGTCCCTGAACGCACCGTATAAAAAAGCGCACCTGTGGGATCGCTTCATTCATCACGTTGACTGCCGGAGTTGGCGGAACATTGCCTCGAGTCGCCATGGAGAATTTTTTGGTTCTGCTCGTGATCCTGCTGGGGAGGCTGGGGAGTTGCACGGTTCACAACGACGCCACCGAGGCGCTGGACCGGCCCGCGGTGGTCGCCCAGGGCCAGGCCAGAGACGAGCCCGTTCAGGAGGACTCCAACCAGGCCAGGAACGGCGGGAGAAGGGGCTCGGAGAATAACGCGCGGAGCGGTGAGTGTCTGTGTTCTGCTCTGGGGTGTGGGTTTGTTATGTAAGGCTCAGTAATGTGGTCAATATGTGGGTAAAAAAGGAATAAAATTTGCAAAATAAAACACTTGGATTTGGTTTAGATCTGGATCTGGTGTAGTAAAGTTTATTTGATGAGCTGTTTCATTAGGGATGATGTAATTTATGCACAAAAAATCCAAAAAGAATCTTAAACAGTAATAAGAAAAAAAGAAAAGAAAAATGTTCCAATACCAATATTCAATACTAATATACATATTTCAATAATATGTTAAATAGTGTTAATAAAAATAAAATTAAAAAAAATACACAAATTTAGAATTAGATTTTGAATTCATGTTAAGCTGTTCCAAAAAAAAAAAAAAAAAAGTTTTAATACCCAAACTTGGATTTAGATTTTAAATTTGTGTTAATTTGTAAAAAATTAAAAAAAATTAAATAAAATAATAATAAATTCCAATACCCACAGATTTTGATTTTGAAATTCTTGTTAATTTGAAAAAATAAAAATAAAATAAAATAGTGCCAACACTCAAACTTGGTTTTAGATCTTGAATTCATGTTAATTTGTAAACAGTCGTAATAATAATGAATAAGTTCCAATACCCCAAATTAGATTTAGATTTCAAATTCATGTTCATTTATATGAAAAACAAAAGAAAGTAGCTTTAAGTCATGTTTGAAATTGTTCTGATGTTGCATTTCATAAACAAGTTACATGTTTGTTGATGTGCTTTGTGCTATTAACAGATTTCCCAGTTATCCAGTCTTTTTATTTTATGATTTATGACTTTATTTATAAATAGAGATTTAACAAGTGTAATTATTTCACTGTTATTCTTGGGAGGTCGGTGCGTGCATTATTTGTGATCTCCTGTAAGAAAAGAAAACGGCACCTTTACTCACTCCAGTGAGCCTAAAGGCAACTAAAATGAAGTAATCAAGCTTTCATCTTGTTCCATTCCTTTGTCAGGATCATCAAATACTGCTTATCGACTGCTTTTATTTAAAGATGACTTGTGGTTTTGAAAAAAAGTTCTACTATTCTGGTACTAAGTTTGTGGCTTGCACAGACCTTCAGTGAAGTTCTAGTTATATTTGTATAAAAACTATAAATGGTCATGGCCTTTATGCCTAACCGAATAATTTTTGCTTATTCTTTAATAATGAGTTATGATGCATTATTAAGTTGTGTATCTTCCAGCGTTCCAACATGTTTTATATTTATTGTTGATCTAATCAGGGCTAGAGATTGTCAGTTACAATCCTCCAGGGTAAATGTGTTATTATTGTTTTCTTAAGAGTTAAGTAATAAAATACTGTCAAGATTAGGCTCCAGGCTTTAACTTCCACAAATGGCTGTGCCATTTATTTTGAATTTGATTTTGAATTCACAATGTTTGATTTTGATTTTAAATTCTCATGTATATCTGTCTTGCAGGTCCGGACCAGAGCCAGGTGGGCTGCAGAGAGCTCAGGTCCACCAAGTACATCTCGGACGGGCAGTGCACCAGCGTGAACCCCATAAAGGAGCTGGTGTGTGCGGGCGAGTGTCTGCCCTCTCACCTGCTGCCCAACTGGATCGGCGGCGCCAGTAACTCGGGTCGGTACTGGAGTCGGCGCGACACGGTGGAGTGGCGCTGCGTGATCGACCGCACGCGCACACAGCGCATCCGCCTGCAGTGTGAGGACGGATCCTCCAGGACCTACAAGATCACCGTGGTCACGTCGTGTAAATGCAAACGCTACAGCCGCCAACAGAACGACTCCGCCCACAGAGACCCCGCCCACACAGACAACAGGAGGAGGAGCCACAAAAAGACTGCGCTGCCCGAGGAACAGACTGCATGAGGGGTACAGGGGGGACAGGGGGTTGGAGGAGTACAGAGGAGTAGAGGGGAGCACATCGGGATACAGAGGTGTGGAGGAGTGGAGGAGGGTACAGAGGGGTACAGAACCCCCTGGACCCTCCTCAGAGGAATAGAGGGGGGTACAGGGGAGAACAGGGGGGTAGAGAGGGGTACATCGGGCTATAGAGGGATACAGAAGAGTTGGCGAGGGTACAGAGGGGTACAAGGGGGTACAGAAGGGGTACAGAGGGGTACAGAGGGGTACAGAGGGTTAGAGGGGTTTAAGAGGACCACCTGAGGAAGTAGAGAAGTTGCACAATGTGCTGAGATCGGGAAGGAAGTATCTTTTTCACTGGTGTACAAATGTATCATATCTGTTTGGTTTATTTTTGTTTGGTACAAGCACAATTCACTCATCGATTCAGTCACTGAACCGTGAAACTTCAGCTGGACTCCAGTGCATTTGTACAAACTCACTGTGCTCTGACCTGTTTGTGTTACACAGACTTAACCTGTTATTGTTCTCATTTTTATCTCCTTGGGTCCAAACGATGAGTTGGGATCCACTGAGGTTCACTAAGCTCATGTCACTGTCAAGAACAAAGTATGAAATGTAAAAACTCGGGCGTGAAATGCTCTGTGCTTCATTCATGCCCTCGATATTCTTACAGATGCTCAAGAACATTTTTATATTTTGTCATTTTCTGTTTTTTATAACCATTTCAAAAGAGCTTATAAGGAGTAGACAAAAGTGGATTTATTTTTATAGTCCAGATATTTTCACACAAAGTTTACAAAGTGATTTCACTGAAACAGCTTTCATCATAAATGTACAAAAGCCTATAATATATTCAGTACAATAACCTAGACTGTACGTGTGTGGAACAATTGTAAATAACTTTTCCAGTTTTATTGTCATATTATCTTTGCTTGTCTTTGATAATGTTATAGAGTCATAGATATTTACTATTATGCACTATGTATTCTTATTGTATGTTTCCAAATGTGAATGTTAGCTTTGTGAGGCACAACGCTCCTCACTATACTTATTGTAAATGTACACATTATATGGGCTAAGATGTGGGTTTGAATAGAATCTAATTTATTTTTGTATAAGACACTTTTGAAGTTTTGGTCTTTTTGATACATATTTGTTGTCATTGTCTGAAATAAAATAGTTGAATGAACATTGTTTGGGAGGCGGTGTTTGGACATAAAGCTGCAGGCACAGCAGACAGTCTTACAGCAAACAGGAACTAGAGGACAACAGCGGCATTAGTCAGTGATGAGCCTCTCCTTTCAGCCCCACTGTACTTTGTGTGATTGTGAAGGGGAGACCTGTGGCTCGGGGCTAATGGGCCTGTGCCAGCTGTGGCTACATGTTAAGACGCTGCATTGTCTCATGTATCCGCTGATTCTGTGTCTGTAAAAGCTCAGGCTCAGAGCTCAGGCACGCACTCAATAGAATCACCTGCGCTGTGTTAAAGCAGGTAAAAGCTCTGAGCTCTTTGTCACTGATCCTCAGAGCTGCATCATAACAACCTGCTGGAATGTGGCCGCTCCAGAGAGGGGCTCTGTAGTACTCTGTAGTACTCTGTAGTACTCTGTAGTACTCTGTAGTACACTGTGGTACTCTGTAGTACTCTGTAGTACTCTGTAGTACTCTGTAGTACTCTGTAGTACTCTGTAGTACTCTGTAGTACTCTGTACTCTGTAGTACTCTGTAGTACTCTGTAGTACTCTGTGGTACTCTGTAGTCCGGTGTACTCTGTAGTACTCTGTAGTACTCTGTAGTACTCTGTAGTACTCTGTAGTACTCTGTAGTCCTCTGTAGTCGTACTCTGTAGTACTCTGTAGTACTCTGTAGTACTCTGTAGTCCTCTGTAGTACCTCTGTCGTACTCTGTAGTACTCTGTAGTACTCTGTAGTACTCTGTAGTACTCTGTAGTACTCTGTAGTCTAGTGGGAACACTGTCAGCACATTGTTGTCTGCTTGCAGTTTAAAGACTTGAGTCTTAATGAGACTTCAGCAGTGACAGCGGCTGATGACGCTTCACCTTGTCTGTGTTGTGTTTTCATCACTCCAGGACTGAGTCATGTTTGAACAACTTTTGGTGCTCGTCATCAGGACTGGACATTGTGCCAGGCCCAGCCTGGTCCAATGAAGACTACATCAGTGTAGTAACAATATCATTTCATGAGCTCAGTCTCCTTTGGTGTGTAGTCGAGCCAGACCCCAAAGGGCCTTTTGAATTTAGAATCTATTATTTCTGCTCTTATTCTAATTATTTATACTGTGTATATTACTGCTCAATAATCCAACACAGTTATGCTCAGTTAATTAGTTCAGAGTAAAAATCACACCAGTCGCCTCCAGCTGGAGCCTTTACATTTGCATTATGGAAATATAACAACAATATTATTGTAGATCCATGATTGAAGGCAGATACTTGAAACTCAGGTGAAGCACAGCAAATTTCAACAAGTTTTTTTTCTTTTTTTTCTCTGATGCCTGTGACAGCGCGAGAGCCCTGTGGGAACGTTGGACAAATCTGTGACTGCCACAGACTTTACATGTAAACCCAGTGTATCTGACACTGTGCACTGAACACACAGGAGACATTTCCTCTGTAACCTTCAGCCTGTCTGCACCACAGCTCTGTGCTGTCTCCTTTACCTTTGTCTTATGTAGTAGTACAGTAGAGTGTAGAGGGTCACAAGTGCACCACTACAGTGTCTCTAATGTTATGTTGTATTATTACATCCTCAGTTACACTTGTAATGTGAGCGGGCTCCTTCAGGGGCAGAGGACTGCTGGAGTTGTTGACTTTACCTGAGCTGTAGCTTCGGCTCTTTGAAGTGTGTCCAACAGCACTGGAATTACAGCACTTTTATAAAGACTTGTCCTGCCATTTCCATGTTCAGTGTTCAGACCTAAACCCTGTTCGTACCAAGCCTTACGTTTTCACTTAAGGAGCACTGCATCAGCTCAGTGACAGATAGGCATGGCCTCTCCAAAGTCATGCATGTAACATAAATTGGTATAAGAGTCTGATGCAGGCAGGGCCCATGTGGTTACCATCACATGAAAAATAAGATGCAATTAGTCACCAGCAAACACGCTGCCATTACTGAGGCCATAGCCGGCACAAAGGGCCTGTAGTGTTAATCTTCCTAAACTATGAATCTTCGGAGGTGGCAGCGTCCTGTTCTTCTATACATCAAAGAGAGAAAGGAAACCACATCAGACCAGCAGCAGAGACTCAGTCTGCAAACATGTGCTGTAAAAAGGCCAAACTGCAGTTATACAAAGGTGTATTTAGCCGAGTGTCCCCAGGCCTGAGCGCTGAAAGCTGCTGGTGTCTGTCTATATGTGAAAGGCCCACAGACACACCTGTTTGTCGTGCCTCACAAAAGCACATACGCTCGGCTCATTCACAGCCACTGCAGCAGTCACGGTTCATCTGTACATCGCCAGCACTGCTCTCCAAACAAAGACTGACTTAGCAAAGTTTACAAGCTCTTTAGGTGGTTAACAGGACATGTGTGTTATCAGTGATCAGAGGACTTTCAGAAATGTGGAAAACTAAGCCCCACTGACACAAACACTCATGCTCCTTTGATTGTAAAATTCAGTATTTCATTTTCACATTTTAAATTCATCATCTGTTTGTCTATCATCAATCGTGTCTGACTTGTTGAAATGAGCCCTATAGGCTTTTGGAAGACGGGAATAACTGACCTTAGTCTGGTGAAAGTGCACGTAGCTCGTCTTTAATCAAAGATATTCTAATCATTGAAGTGTCTGCAGTTAAGTGAGAGGGTTCTTGTGCACATGCAAGGACCATCTGAAGTAAATAGATTTTTAGGGGGTCAGGTGGTTGTAGTATTTGTGGATCAAGTAACACACTGACTAAGACTGCAGACTTCACGCTATAGCCATGTTTTGATTGGCTCAATGTGGAGCAGAATGTGAAGTGTTTCCACTGTCTCAGGTGAACTGGGCTGAAGGACTGACTGTCTTCAGCTCCCCAGTCGCTTTAGCTGAAATGGATCATGCATTTAACATTAGCTAAAGCAAATGTATTACATTAAACCACAGAAAAAGTTAAGACTGAACCCCTCACCTGGTCCTGGACTCTCAAACCCAAACTTTAAAAACTACTAACCAACACATGTGGGAACACAGAGCTGACCTCGAGTCAACGGGCTGAGCTCAGTGACATCATCCAAATGGTAGAAACTTTAATAGACCCTTGTCCACATCTCACAACGCCACAAACTTGGAAGTTACGTCTTTTTGTGAATAGGCCCTGTGCACAGGTGCATGCTAGTGAACCCACTGTCTCTCAAAGATAAGATACACATTACTTCAGTTTGTGTTGTTGTTTTATTATGCCTCAAAATTAGCCTTATCATTACCGCAAAACCAGAAATGTCCTTGACTTCACTTCAGTTGTTTGGTTTAATACCAAATATGTATCGTATTGTGCCCCCCTCGTCTGGACTGACATGTCAGTGGGGTTTGTAGTAAAAGGGGAATGAAGACTCCACGCTCCTGAGTGTACAGTATGTCTTTATATCTTAGTCTCTTGTTGGTGGGGGTCTGGGTGAGGGTCGGGGTCCGGGTGAGGGTCGGGGTCCGGGTGAGGGTCGGGGTCCGGGTGAGGGTCGGGGTCCGGGTGAGGGTCCGGGTGAGGGTGAGGGTCGGGGTCTGGGTGAGCGCCGGAGTCCGGGTGAGTGTCACAGTGGGTCTGTGCGGTACATAAAGGAGACAGAGTTTCCTATCCACGAGGCGTTCTGATTGTGCGGAGCCGGGGCCCTGCAGACAGAGGCACATAAAAGCCGGGCTGTTTGTTCCTGGGGAAGGATTAGGTGGCAACACAGAATGCTCAAGGAACACATGATAGCCCCTCGCTTGTGGTGATGTCATGCTTTTGGTAAAGGCATTGGACCGGGCGCCTCTTGAGTTACAGTAAAGAGCACGGCTGCTTGTACCGC